TACGTTAAACTTTAACCAATTTTTCTTTTTTAATTATTGAAACAAAATAAAATCCTTTTTATTTAGAAATAAGTTTTTAAAAATTACATTCATTTTATTTAAACAATTACACTGCAATATAATATCAATCTAAAGTTATCTAGTCAAGATAATTGAGTCAGCTTTATTAATATAATATGTTTTTAGTCTATTGACGTACACAGTAAATTAACTGTTTACCTTAAATAATTTACATTCGATTCTAGGATTAAAAAGAAAATTAATTAATTTTTACTTTTTATTAGGTAAATTTAAATTAATATTCAATGTAAAGGCTTGATCATTTTCCCCACGCTTATTATACTTTTCTATGATTTTTTAAAATCATAAAGAAATGACTCTATTAGTTATTGGACAGTTTTCAGTGATAAACTAGAAAATAAAATAGATTTATATAAATTTAACTCTAAAATTTTCATATTTTAGCAAATAAAATTTAAATTTGCTCATTTTGTATTCTTATAAATTCTATTACAAATAATATTTAAATATTTAAAATTTAGATGATAGTCTTTTACAAATTTGGTCATTTTTTCTATCAAAAATTTTGATGAAAAAATAAGCTGTATTTAAAGGATTTCTGTTGATTGAATTTTTCAATCAAAGCAAATGATTTGTGAATTTTTAAAATCAAGAAAAAAGGATGCTTTTTTTAAAAATTCTTGGCAAGAATAAGTTCTGAACATTATTTGTGAGGTAATATATCAATCAAACGTAATTCATCCTTTAATATCAAGTTATTAAAAAAAAGAGAAAAATTAATTATTGCTTTTGTTGAAAACACATAGTAATCAATTTAAGTAATATATATTTGTAATTAAAGAGTCAAAAAAAACACTTAGCTATTTTTTGAATATGGCGATTTAATATTAACATTTTTACTTTTTAAATCTTAAATCTAAAAGAAAGAAACATTTAATTGATTTATTATATTTTTAACATTACACATATTTCTAAGTATATTCTTTTATAATAATGATTATGTTCGTTTCTGTTTATATATTTTTTTATGTATTTGCTTTCCAAAAAAATGTTTAGGAAGGATTATTATTCATATTAAAGCGAAATATAACGCATAATAAAAAATAAATACTATTTGCTATAATAATTAATAATCATTATTCATTAAAAATATAATAAAACTAAAGAGAATATTATACTATAATTTTAAATAATTTTAAGCTAAATATACCAAAATTAGATTAAACACTCTTATAATCAATTGTCACTTATCTGATATCAAAGAGTGTAAATAAATTAAGAAATTATAAAAATAATAAAAAATTTAAATCTTATTGTAGCTGATTGATTCTTTTTTCATGCACATCAAATTATCTTTATTTCATATTCTAGAAGAAAATAATTAACTTAATTTATAAAAACTTACTTAATTACTTTTTGTATAATCTAAAGCAAAATTGATAAAAATGTTAATTTTCTATTTTTTATAGAAGCATCTTCAAAACAATTTATTATGTATTTATTGAATTAAAAATATAGATTAGTTATCATCAACAAAGAAAAATAGTCTAATTATAATTTTTTTATGGATATTTACAAAGCAATTTAGAAGATAGTTTCTAAATTGTTAAATTTTAGATAAAATTTCCCTCATTTCTTTGAAAAAACTAAAAATAATTTTATTAAATACAGTAAAATTTTTTAGTTTAAATTCTTGATCAACTGTATGAAGTATTGCTTTACGATGCTCATCTTATTCTTAGCGGTGTCTAAAAATTGTCTAAGTTGTGAGCTTAGCAGATGTTCACTCACATGAAAAGCAACATTTGACTTCTCTAGTCTACAATATAATTTTAACAACTAGATGCTTTATTTTTTATCCATAAAAACTAGTGTTAATACTTTCTCAAGGTTATAATTAGTTTTAATACTTATTTTTTATATTAGACAAAATATTAATAATTTTATTTCAATAGAAAAAAATCTATTTAATTAGTATTTATTAAACAAGTAGTCTTCTTGAAATTTCTATTTTAATTTTTAATTTATTTAATAACTATTATTTTTAGCCTTGATAAATTCTGAAGCTTTCTAATTTTTATTATTACTATCAAAAAAAATCTGATAAATTACAATTAAAAAAGTCAATTAATTAGTTTGTTTTACACAAGTTAAAATAGCAAATGAGATATCTTAAATGATAGTATCTATCTTTTTTAAATTTAAAGAATATAAAATAAAGTTATGGAATATAAATTTATTATTAAATTATCGTTTATATGTTTTACATTCCTTCTAAATACTCAAACACAAATAGCAACAAAAGATTTTTTTATTTTATAATTTAGATTAATGCAAATAACATTAAATAAAAATATAGAGATTAAACTTAGTATCCTAGCAGAAAATAAAATTAATTTCTAATAAAAGTGAATGAATTATATTTATTAATATTTCATTAAATCCTAAAAAAATTTCAATTTTGAGCTGATTTTACTAAACATCGTATTAAAGTAAACAAGTATTTCTTGGTTTTTTTTAGTATTTTAATCATTTTTTCACTAATATCATGTAAATATTTATACTATTTGTTTGTTTATTTATAAATATCAAATTAAAATTAATAATAAATATTTATTAGCTCAAGTTCATTTATTATTTTTTTGATCAATCCATTAGCAAAAATTCAATTATTTTTTTTTTGAGAAAAAGAAGTTATAGGGACAAAGAGAATTCCATTAGAAAATTTTAATTTAAAAATATAATTAAAAGCAATATTGATTAAATTAAAATAAATAAATATAAATTATATCTTTAGTGTAATAATCATCATCCAGTTATTAATTTATTCACTAAATAATAATATTGAAAAATACATATTTAAATTAGATTTAGTGAAACATATTAAGTTTTAGTTCATTAAATAAAAATTAGTAAATAGTTTATTTATTATTAGAGATACTGTTAATAATCCTCTAAGTTAAGGTTATAAGAAGAAAAAATTATTTTTAAACAAATTTCTTAACATTAGATAACTTTAACATAAAATAAAAAAAAATCTTTAGTCTAGATTTATTTTTCTTCATTTCATTAAATAAATTTATCATATTAGAAGTAAAGAATTTTCTCTAAACCTTGGTAGATATTTATTTCAAAATAAAATTCTGAGAATTACTCTAAAATATTGTTATTTACCAATAAAATATTAAAAATAAAAATTATATAAAAAAACTCCCAAAAAATAGTAATTAAATTAAATTAACTTATGCATTTTAGAAGTTATATTAGTTGTAAAATAAAAGGAATATAATATTTATGCAACCCTTAAAAAAATTTTATTCATTTGAGGTTTTATGATAAAAAACTACATTAGTGTATTTTAATAATTTAATTTTTTAGCAAAACTAATATTTTGAGAAAGTTCATATTTATTTTTGTATGATTATAAGAAGGATTATCCATTCAATTATTTATACTTTTTTTGCTATTTAAAAGGTTTCAAAATGGGTAAACATTTATAAATAATTAAAAAAGATTATTCAGAAACATCAAAAAATACTTTATAATTTTAAAGATCTCTATTATTTGATAGAGATAGTTTACATATTTAGAAATAAAAAAATTATTTTTAATGAAGTAAAATCTTGAATTTTGATCATAATCTTTCCTCATTAGATAAATTATTATTAACTATTTAAATTAAAAAACTTGATCGTAATGTAATTAATTATTAATAATCAATCGAAAAAATTCTATTAAATCTAATTAATTGTTTAAACTTTTTGTGAAATCAAGCAATTCCAAATTTTTCATAAAATATATTTATAAAACTAATCTAAATTAACAATTTTAGTAAGGTGATAAAGTAAATCAACTTTTCTTTTGATTTATGAATTTTATATAATTAAAAAATTGTAATAATTATCAAAAAATAAATCTAATAAAATTAAATTTCATTTGTATATCTAAATACCCCACAATCCTTCTTTCAAAAAATGCTAGCTCATAGTAAGAAAGAATGAAAAAGAATTTACAAATGGTGAAAATAGAAAAATCTGGAAAAATAAAATAAACTCTACAAATTTTAGTGAATGAAGATATTTTATTTAGATTTAAGTAAATACAATTATTTTTTTTTATTTCATTTGATAAGCTGATTGATCAAAAAGTATTAGTATTTTTTCAGAGTTTTTTATCTTGAAATTTGATCAATTATTTAAATATTACTCAAAGAAAAGTAGTGGATAAAAAAAGTTTTTAAATAATAAAACAAATTCTTTAATAAATAATTTATTTTAAATGATATATTTTTATTTGAATTTAATTTATTATTTATTCAATAGAATTTTCTTAGAATGATAAACGTTATATTTAAATAAAGATAGAATGTATATATAATAACATTTATAATTAATAGCAAATTCCAAAATAGAAATTATAGCTAATGTAATATACATTACAACAAAATTTAAAAGATTGCTTTTGTCAACTAATATTAAGAATAAATTATATTGTAAGCTCTATTTAATTAAGTCCATACCCCTCCACCTAATTTATTTTTGGTCAATTTTTATTGTTTCAAAAGTTTTTAAAAATTTATCCTTTGTTAATAGAGTCATTAATCAATAAGAGTTTACAGTATAAAATAAAATATATTTTTTATCACTGTTTATCGCTTATTAAAATAATATTTTGTGGTTATACATATTCAATTCTATAAAATATTGATTAGGAATATATACTATTTCTAATTAATAATAATTGCTAGATATTATCATTATATATTTTTGAATGATGTGTTATCATAATTGCTGGATTAAATTTTAATAATTCTTGTTTCTGGTAAATATATATTTTGTCTTTTTTGAGTTGGTTTATTCATAAAGAAAATTGATTGATTGAGCATAATTTTTTAGGCTTTAAAAAAAATCTTGATCTCTTCAAAAGTATAAAAATAATTAATATTATTATTAAAAATATAAAACATAAAAAAAAAGTATATGATTTCTTTACAAAGTAATAATGCTATAAATAGTGTAATAAGCATATTTCTTGATGTAGTTGCTTAATAAATTCCATAAAACAAATTAAATTCCTTATCTACGTTGAACTATGAATGCGATAGCTGTTTTTTAAAAGAGCTAAATTTTAAAAAAATATCACAGGATTCTTGCTTTTAGTCATTGCAATGCTATTAAGAACCTACTAAATAATCTGAAGATTATGACTATTTTGAAGAAAGGATTGATTCTAAATTGAAATAAAATCAGTAACAAAATATAATAAAAAACATTTTAAAGAGCTTCCTAAGCTATTTAGTAAAATTATAGGACTCTATAACAAAACAAAAATATTAATAAATGTATTTCAAAAAAAACAATAATTCTTTTTCTGAAATAAAGAAAGCTGTGTCGAAGAAAGTGAATGTCAAAACGAATAGATGGAATTTTTAGCTTAGAAGCCTTCTATAAAGCGAAAGTCTAAAGCTAATATTTTATGATTATCTATTCAATAACTCCTAATAATGGCTTTAAAAATCTAAAGTGTTTAATTTAGAAGAACATAAGAGACTAATTGATGTTCTTTTAAATTGCATAGAAAATAACTAACCATTAGACATAAAAATATATAAGAAAAAGAAATGATATTTCGAAACCATACATGCATGAATATAATTTATTAATTATTAATATTTATAATTAAAACAATATATAATATATCTTTAAGCGTTATTCTGAATGAATTTGTTCAAAACTATATTTTATTTTTATGTTGTATTAACTCTTATTGCTATTAAAAAATATACTTAATCAAAATAAATAATTTCCTAAAAACATGAGCGATTTAGATAGAAAAACTCTATTGGCATAATATTTAAACGCATTAGTTTTTAGATTTAAATAAATCAAATTTTTGTTGGTTGTTTTTATAACCTTTTGATTTATATTAATTAAATTGAATCTTTTAAAAAATATATTGCTTCCTTCCTTAACTCCCTAATTAAAATATCTTTTGGATATTTGATATAAATTCTAGTATTTGAATTCTTAAAGATTTATTTCATCGAATATTATCTGTGGGTTCATTCATATAAATACTAAAATATTTATTTCTAGTTATTTTAATTCCAGAAACAAAATACAATCCTTTTACTTTAGAAATATGCTCTTGAAAAACTCACTTTTAATTATTTAAATAATTACACTTTAAAACAAAATGAATCAAAAGCTATCAAGCCAGATAATTGAGTCAGCTTTTTTAAGCTGTTTTTATTAGCGTATGTACTAAATTAAATGTTTACCTTAAATAATTTACATTTCTTTCTAGTGTAAAAAGAAAATTAATTTTTACAATTTATTATGTAAATTTAAATTAACATTAAATAGATGTATTTGATTATCTTCCCCACAAATTATTTCACATTTCTGAATTTTTAAAAATGCAAAATAAATGGCTCTAATTATAATTGATGACAATCTTCAGTGATACACTAAAAATTAACTATATTTAAATAGTTTTCAAACTAAAATCTTAATATTTTAGTTATTATTTTTTAAATTTGCTAATTTATATTCTTGTAGGCACTATCCGAAACAAAGTTTAAATATTTAAAATTAACATAAAAAACTTTTTAAAAATTGGTCATTATTTCACTCAAAAATTATGGTAAAAACACAGGTTATAGAAACATAAAATTATATTTTTATGAATATTATCAAATAAATGATTGGACAGAGTTTTTTTCTAAGAAGATAAATAGCTAGTTTTTTACTTAAAACATGCTCAAATAGTTTCTAAAATTGTAAAATAAAAAATACTTAGTAAAATTATTATCATCTGTATTTAAATGATTTCTGTTGATTGAATTACTCAATCAAAGAAAATAATTAATAAATATTTAAAATCATGAAAAAATAATGAATGTATCCTCTCAAAATTTTTAACAAGAATAAAGTTGTGAAAATTATTTGAGATATTATATATTAATTATTCGTAATTCATCCTTTAAAATCAAGGTGTAGAAAAAGAGAGAAAAATACGCTCCTTCCTTTGCTTAAAAAAACATAATATTTGATTTAAATAATATTTTTAATTAAAGATTAAAAAAACACTTAATTTTTTTATGAATGGGGTTAAATTTTTAAATCTTAAATCTAAAAGAAAGAAAGATAGATAGATAGATCTGATTGATTAATTTATATTGATAAAATTTCACATTTCTTTTATTGTATTCTTTTATAATAATATTGATCATTCGCCTTTCTTATTACATTTATAGGTATTTCTTATCTAAAAAATTGTTTATGGTGGATATTTCTTCATTTAAAACTAAATAATACATGATAAAAAATAATAAAAATGGGCCATCGTAATTAATAACCGCTATTCTTTAAATAATATAATGAAACTAAAGAGAATATTATCAGTTCATTAAATAGTTTCTAAACACTTATAAGCTAAATATACTAAAATTTGATTAACCACTCTAATAATCAATTATAAATTATATGATATTAATGAGTGTAAATAAATTAAGATATTAGAAAAGTAAGAAATAATTTAAATTTTATTACAGCTAATTATTTTTTGATACGCATCTGATTGATTATGCTTTTTCATAAATTAGATGAAAATTATTAATTTAATTTATAAAAACATAATTACTTTTTGCTTAATATAAAGCAAAAAAAGACAAAAATGTTAAATTTCTATTTGTTATACAAGCAACATCAAAATATTTTTTCTTATTTTATTAAAAATACAGTTGAGTTACTATTATTGTAAAGTAATTGTCTATTTTTTAATCTATTTATGGTTGTTTTTAAACATAACTTTTAATATAGTTAGTTACTAAGTTGAATTTTATAATATATTTTGATAAATTTCTTTTTAGTTTTCTCTCATTTTTCGAAAATATTAAAAATGATTTCATCTAAATTCAGTAAAAATTATATATTTAAAATACTTGATAATAATGTGAAATGTAGTTCTTAGTATTTTTTTAACAAATAATGCTTTTATATTTTGTAACTTTTAAAATTTGAAAAAACACTTTTTAAAAGCTGTAAATAGTTTTAAAACTCAAAACTAATCCTTTAAATTATTTTTAAAAATATTTTTGGAATCTATTTTTTAATATTTTAGATAATATAAAAAATAATTAATTATCTGATTTACAAGTAGTCAAATTGAAATTCATTTTTAATATTTTAAATTAATTTAATAACTATTTTGGTTATGATTGATAAATTCTGAAGATTTCTGATTATTATAATTATCAAAAAAATCTGATAAATTATTATTGAAAAAGTAAATTAATTTGTTACACAAACTACAATATCAAATAATATATCTTACTTTTATTTAAATGAGACTTGGAATTGAAATTTATTACTCTAAAAAAAGAGATACTTACTACTATTTTAAGCATAAAAATTATAGCATAAATATTTATTTGATAATAATTAAAAGATCATTTTAATCAGATAATTTTTAAAATAAATATCAACTTTCATCTTTTACTTTGTAAATTTATTGAGTAAAAAAGCCACAAATATTTAAAGTATCTTGAATTCAAGCTTTTATAATTTTTTTTGCTCTAAATATTTATTCACCTTTAATTAAAAAAGCAGGAATTGTAATTAGAAAATTATACTAAAAACTTTTTTTTGAAAATAGCTCTTTATGATTAGTTTATATTATTTTTTTATAGCAATAGAAGAAAAAGACAATTTCATCACACAAATGATTTCAAATAATTTTATTAACATATTTTTAGAGATTTTTGAATAGTAATCTACAATAAAGCAGTTTATTGATTACTTATTTAACTAAGATAATTTAAAATATTTTCAGTAGAATGTTAACTTGATGAATTATAGTTGCCCTAGGCTAGTTTCATCATAATCAAAATAGATATTAGAAGATAAATACTACCAGGTGTAACAACCATAAAACTTTAATAATAATGATGAGCAGCATAAAAGCCTAAAAATATTCCAAAATTAAAATGTTATCAAAAATATTTTAAAGAGTTTTTAAAAATATTTTTATGAATAAAATGATGCTGCTATTAAAAAAAAGTATCAATCTATCTATATATAATTAATGCATTCAATTTAAATTCTTACTCTGAAATTAAAAAATATTTTTCAAGAAAATTTAATTAGAAAACAACAAGAATTTTTTATTGGTGTTTTATTTATTTCAACTACTTAAACAAAATTATCCAATTATAGTTGTTGAAATTAATATTTAAGAGCTTGTTATAATAATTTTATTAGCCCTAACTTCTACTTAGGATGGGATTATTGATTCAAGACTTAAATGATTATTAGCTAGAATATAAATTGTTGTGTTAGAATAGTATCTAGTAGTAGTCTAGTAGAAATCAATAGAGACTTAAGTAATAGAGGCAGAAGAGCCTTCAGTATAAAGCATTATAAAACCAAGTTAATCGAATAAGCCAGTGTTTGGTTAAGCGAGATAGTATGTATTATTTAAATCTAATTATACTATTAAATCCTCTGTTATTAAATAGGTTTAACATTTTCCTCTGATTGAAAAATATAATTAATATTTTATACTTTTTTTTCATATTCTTTTATTATATAACAAATCATCCAAGTAAATATTTCTAATTAGTAATTATTCTAAGTGTTTATAAACTAAATATACCAAAATTTGTTAACCATTCTTATAATCAATTTTGATTAATCAGATATCAAAGAGTGTAAATTAATAAAATTTTATAAAAGTTTAAATTTTGTTGCAGCTGATTATTTTTTAATAGCATCAAATTATGCTTATTTGATGATAATAATTAGCTTCTTTTACAAATACTCTCTCATTCAATTTTCAATTATTAACTTGAAATTAGATCATTTATTCAAATACATAACTTAAATATTGCTCAAATAATGGCTTTAGATATAAAATACTTTTTAATTTGATATATATGATTCTAAAATAAATAGTTAATAGTTTATTTTTAATGATATATTTTTCTTTCCTGTATTTAATTTATTGTTTATTGAATTAAATCTTCATAATAAAATTTGCTAAGTAAAATAAATTTTATATTTAAACAAAGATAGCATGTAAAAATATATCAAAATTAATACAATAATTAGTAAATTTTAAAATATAAATAATAGTTAAAATACAATACAATACAACAAAATTTAAAAGATTACTTTTGTAAACTAATATTAAGAATAAATTAAAAAAATGTTTATTATTGTAAAAAAACTTATTAAAAATATTATTTTTAAATCATATTTTGTTGTAATTCACATTTAATTTTATATAATTTTGAATAGAAATTAATATTATTTCTAATATATAATAATTGATAGATATCTTCGTAATATGAATGATGTGTTATCTCAATCACTGGCTAAAATTTTTAAAATTCTTGCTATTAATAAAAATATATTTTTTGCCTTTTTTGAGTTGCTTCATAAAATAAAGAAAATTGATAAAGCATAATTTGTTAAGCTTTAAAAAAAATAAACTAAAGAATAATTAAACTTGCTAAAAATATTATACTCAAAAAAAGTATATGAATTTTCAACAAAATAACAGTGCTCTAAATAGCGTAATAAACATATTTCTTGATGTGGTAGCTTAATAAAATGAATTAAATACTGAATCTGCGACAAATTATGAATGCGATAACTGTTTTTAAAAGGAGTTAATTTTGAAAAATCAGCAGGATCCAAGCTTTGAACAATTGCAAATCTATTAAGAATCTACTAAATAATCTGAAGATTATGACTATTTTGGAGAAAGGATTGATCCTAAATCCAAATAAAATCAATAATAAAATATAATAAAAAACATTTTAAAGAGCTTCCTTAGCTATTTAGCCAAATTATAAGACTCAAACACTAAATAAAAATATTAGTAAATATATTTTAAACAAAGCAATAAGTCTTTTTCTGAAATAAAAAAAGCAGTGTCAAAGAAAGTTAATGTTAAAACAAATAGATGGAATTTTTAGCTGTAAAGTCTTCTTTAAAGTTAAAGTTTAAGGCTTATATTTTATGATTATCTACTAAATTATTCCTAATAATGGCTTTAAAAATCTAAAGTGTTTAATTTAGAAGAACATCAGAGGCTAATTAATGTTCTTTTAAATTGCATTGAAAATAATTAACAATTAGACATAAAAATATATAAGAAAAAGAAATGACAAATCTAAACCTTGCATGAATGAATATAACTTGTTAATTATTAATAATTACAATCAAAACAATATAAATATATAAAGCATCTTTAAGTGTTATTTATATGAGTTCGCTCTAATTATATACTTTTGTATTTTCTTATTACTTTTAATAAATCTAAATAAAACTTTTTCTGAATACATTAGCGATTTAAAAACGTTTATGATTATATTCAAATATATTAGTTTTTACTTTATATAAATCAAGATTCTGTTGGTTGTATTAATAATCTTTATTAATTAAATTGAATCTTTTAAAAAATATATTCCTTGCTTGCTTAACTTGTTAACCAAGATACATTTTGACTATTTAATATAATTCATAGAATTTTAAATCATAAAGATTTATTTTATTGAATATAGTTTTTGTGTTTATAAAAATACTTTAACCAATTTTTTTCTTTATAGCTTATTTAATTATTGAAACAAAATCAAATCCTTTTACTTGAAGAATATTTTCTTAAAAATATCATTCAAATTTATTTAAATAATTACACTGTAAAATAATATCAATCAAAAGTTATCTAGCCTGATAATTGAGTCAGCTTTTTTAAATATAATATGTTTTTATTCTATTGACATATGCAGTAAATTAACTGTTTACCTTAAATAATTTACATTTGATTCAAGCATACAAGAAAAGGTAAATTTAAATAAATATTAAATACAAATAATTGATCGTTTGTTTCCCCACACTTATTACACTTTTCTAAGTTTTTTTAAAATTTAAAAGAAATGGTTCTATTTATTATTTATTGATGACAATTTTCAACTAGAAAATAAAGTACATATAATTAAATTTAACACCACCATTTTAATATTTTAGCTTATAAAAATTTTGCTCGTTTTTTATTCTTATTAATTCTATTACAAATAATATTTAGCAATTTAAAATTCTAATGAAAATCTTTTAAAAATTTGATCATTATTTATTTCAGAAATTTTGATGAAAAATTAGGCTGAAGAACCACAAAAATATCTCTTTGTGTATTTTTCAAATAAGTGCTATGGTAGAGCTTATTTACCAGAAGATGAATTACTATTTTTTTACTTAAAATTTACTCAAATAGTTTCTAAAAATGTCAAATAAAAAAGACTTAGTAAATATTATCAACTGTATTCAAATGATTTCTGTTGATTGGATTTTTCAATCAAAGCAAATGACTAGTGAATTTTTAAAATCAAGAAAAAAGAATGCTTCTTCTAAAAATTTTTGATAAAGATAAATTGTGAACATTATTTGAGAGGTAATATATTAAATGTAATTCATCCTTTAAAATCAAGTTGTAAAATAAGAGAGAAAAATTAATTACTTCCTTTCTTGAAAACACATAATAATAAATTTAAATAATATTTGTAATAAAAGAGTCAATAAAAACACTTAGTTATTTGTAAATATGGTGGTTAAATATAAATTATGTTACTTTTAAATTTTAAATCTATCACATTTTTCTAAGTATATACTATTCTAACGATGATAATATTTGTTTCTGTTTACATATTTATGTATTTGCCATCCAAAAAAATTGTTTAGGTAGGATTATTATTTATGTTAAAGCGAGATATTATACATAATTAAAAATAATAACTATGCGTTGTAATAATTAATAGTTATTATTTTTTAAAAATATAATGAGACTAAAGAGAGTATTGTATAGTCATTTTATTTAGTTTCTAAACACTTGTAAGGTAAATATACCAAAATTTGATTAACCACTCTAATAATCAATTATCACTCATATAATATCAAAGAGTGTAAATAAATTAATAAATTACAAAGTATTAAAAAATTTTAATTTTATTGCAGCTAATTAATTTTTCATACATATCAAATTATCTTTATTTCATATTTTAGAAGAAAATAATTAACTTAACCATAAGAATTAATTTAATTATATTTTGCGTAATCTAAAACAAAAAAATAATAAACATTTAAAGTGGCTATTTGCTTTACAAATATCTTCAAAACAATTTTTTATTTATTTATTTATTTAATTAGTTATCATTAACGAAGTATAATTGTTTAGTTTAAATTCTTGATCAATTGTAGTTATTGGTATATTTTTAACAATTAGATGCTTTTAATATATACTTTATTTAGTTTCTAAACACTTGTAAGGTAAATATACCAAAATTTGATTAACCACTCTAATAATCAATTATCACTCCTATGATATCAAAAAGTGTAAATAAATTAATAAATTACAAAAGTATTAAAAAGTTTTAATTTTATTGCAGCTGGTTAATTTTTCATACATTTGAAATTATCTTTAAGGCATCTTCAAAACAATTTTTTATTTATTTATTTAATTAGTTATCATTAACGAAGTATAATTGTCTAATTTTAATATAATTATGAGTATTTTCAAAAGCAAATTATAATGTAGTCTTTAAGTTGAATTTTAAATTTTAGATAAATTTTTTAATTTTTCTTAAATTAAAAATAATTTTATCTAAATTCAGTAAAAAATTTTTAGTTTAAATTTTTGATCAATTGTAGTTATTGGTATATTTTTAACAATTAGATGATTTTGATATATACTTTTTATCCATAGTTAATGCTTTTATATTAAAAACTCAATATTGAAATATATTTTTTTATATTTTAAATAATATAAAAAATAATTTTCTGATTTACAATTAGTGTTCTTGAAATTTCTATTTGATATTTTTAATTTTTTTTTTGTTATGAGGCTTGATCTATTCTGAAGCTTTCTAATTATTATTATCAAAAAATCTGATAAATTATTATTGGAAATGAAAATTTATTAGTTTACGCGAACTTTAAAAAACTAATAATAAATACTATTAAATTGAAAGAATATAAAATAAAATTATTGAATGTGAATCAATTATTAAATTATCCTTTATATTTTTTACATTCTTATCAATACTCAAACACAAATATCAACCAAAGATTTTTTTATTTTTTTACTTTGATTCAAGCAATTAATATAATGTAAAAATATAAAGATTGAATTCCATATCCTAGTATTTAAATAAAATTAACTTGAGATAAAAAAGTTAATTATTAATACACAAATGTTTAAATAAGTCTTAATAAAAAATTTAAATTTAAAGTTGATAAAACAAAAAATCCTTGTTTTTCTTTTATTTTATTAGTAATTAAATAAAATTTTCTCTAATATAAAAGAAGCTTTTTCACTATTTGTTTGTTGATTTATAAATATCAAATTAGAATTAATTATAAATATTTATTATCTCAAATTCAAAAAGCATTTATAGAAATAAAAAAAACCATGAGAAAATTTTGATTTAATTATATAATTAAAGAAATCATGAATGAATTAAATTTAAATTTAAGAAAGATCTT